CGTCTTTCTCTCTCCTCTTCCCCGGAGGTACCCGGCACATCTCTGTGGGTAGATCTCCCGCCTGTCTTCCGCCCCCACCTCGACGGAAACGCTTTCCCCCATCCCGCCACCTGGTGGTCGCAACCTCCTCTCTTCTGCCGGGGTGAGGGAGGTGGGGGTTACCGCTGCGCTGCCTCCCCTCCTCCCCAAAGGCGGAAGACCCTTGGGCAGCTGCCTGTGGCTGGGAAGTTGCACCTGGGGCCGAGGGGCACGAGCAGGGGGGTTACCGGGTGGGGGAGGAACTAGCTGGTGGCTGCGCCCTCAGGCTGCCTGACATGTCCCCTTCTGCTTTTGCAGGGGCTTCGGGAAGCAGGGATTCCAGTGTCAAGGTAGGCTTTGGGGGCTCTGGAAATGCTACATGTGGGACGAGTGGGTTAAAAAGACTTTGAGAAGTGATGGAGTTAGGCAGAGAGTGAAGGGATCACATCTCTCAGCCCGACCTCCCAAGCTAGGCATTCTTCATCGCAGAAGGTCCTTCAAATGGTCGTATTTGGGCCAGTGATGCCTCCTCCTTTCCAGGAAAGCCCTGTGGAGCTGGGATGCCCTCACTGTCAAGGAAATGCCTCCACCCATTCTCCTTTCCCAGCATGGGAGAATCAAAAGGAGCCTCCTGAACCTGTGCCCACACCGCTGGTCTTGCCTTGGGAGGAAGCGTCTCCAGGGGCTGTTCCTGGGAGGAACCCCCTTCTAATCCCTGCCTCTGCCCTGCTCATTGTCCTCGCTCATCTCACAGAGCGAGAGTTTTGGTCTTTCCCTGCCTCGGAGAGGTCTCTGCAGGTGGCTGCCTCCTCTGCAGATGGTGGAACCCCTAGAAAAGCCACTGTGGTTGTCCCCTGGGCTTCCTCCCTCTGAAAGAAGTGGCTGCAGATGGATGCCTTTTAGATCTGGCTTCCATCTAACCTCTGGGTAGACACAGGAATGATGCCAAGTGGTTGCCTAGGCCCATGCATCTGGTTTGAGATCCTTGATTCTAACCAGGGACGCCCAGCCCCATCATGGTGACTTTGATGGTGTGTAAGGTGGCCTCAGATGTCTCTAGAGTGAGTTTCTGAAAGACAGTTGCACATGAACTCTCCAGGGCCAAATCATTTGGAGATTTTAGCCCGTAGGACGTCTTAAACATTTTGTGAATTTGATGTAGACATTTCAGAACCAGGTGATTTCACACACATGTTTGAATTTCCAACTGCGACTTTGCTGAGAAACGGTCCCACTTTCATGTTAGAACCACCATTTGGAACTGAGACCAGCTGTGTTTGTACAGGGCACCGAAATTCACCATTTTGTCTCAGCCGATCTCAAACAGGCCGGCTTCACCCATTTCTAGTCCCTGCAGGCATTCAAATTTGCAACTCTGCTCTGGACAGTATATGTGTGTGTGTCTTCCACGTGTAGGCCAGGGGTGGCTGAGTTTGCTGGGGTATATCTTCAGGCGAATTGGCTACCCTGGTGGACAGGATTTAAATCAGAAAAAAGCATCTGGGCATTGACCAGTCTGAGGTGTAGCTTAGAACTGACTGACACTTTTGTCATTTGCACCTCCATCCTTCAGGGAAGGTGAAGTGACCCCTGTGAGTGTAGGTGGCATCGTCAGTTGTGCAGAATGTGCTCTTGCAGGGTGGCACTGTCCCCTGAAGCTCACACATGCTGCCACCTGAGCTCCGGGACAGGGTGGGCTCATTCAGTGACTTCAGTCCTGCTCAGCCCCTTGTATCAAATTTGGAGCCCCAGTTTCACACACCACACTGGAGGACTCCCCAAATCCCATTAGGTGGCAACAAATTAGGCCCTGATGCAACACTGTGAATTGTTTTCTGGAACCTTGTTTGACCTCTCCAGCAAAATAGCGATGGTGTCTTGGTGCCTGAACGTGTGATGTCTTCTTTGAGGTTGCCTTTCACTTCCATGAATCGGTTTCTGTCTTTGTTTCTTGCTGAGGCTGGAGGTGATTTTTAAACATTTTTGTGACTGCTCTCCTATGCCACCTGCTCTGCTGTTACTGATGCCTGGGAAGGTCACTTTGGAATGTGCAGGGGATCACACATCTGAAACAGAAGACCCTTTAGTCAAAGCTTGGAAAATGGCAGGAATTTTCAGGAGTTAATAAGAAAAAAGATGTAAAGTTTCTAATGGAATGTGACCAGTGTAGAGATAGGAGTGTCTATATTTTTTAACCCCCCTCCATCCCTCAGTGGCAGTGTAGAGGAGGTGGTGTGTGCACCAGTTAGCAGGAAGTCACAAAGTCACTGTGGATCTGAATGCTGACATGGAGAGTTCCTAGGCATATCACTTTGCCTCTGTACCTCAAGTCCTTTATATCTCTAAAACAGGGCTAATAACTGCACCTACCTTAGAGTTACTAAGCACCACCAAGCTGCAATATCTAAGTTGCTTGGACCAGAGTTTGGCACAGAATAAGCACTCCAAAGATACCAACTCTCATAATTGTCCCCAAACTTCTCCAGTGGTGGGGCAGCTGGGTGAGAAAAGCCTAGCTCTGCAGGACTGCTTGGGTATAGAACTGGTTACCAGGTGAGAGAGTCCAGCTGTGAACATCTGGTCACTCTGTGTCACTGTTTTGGCAGTGTATTCCGTTTGGGTGGAAGTAGGGAGAAGTGACAGAGGGGGTGGGACAATTTGGCAGCCCCCGAAATGGACATTCTTAGGATGGGGACAACCAAGAAAGAAGTTTATCCCTGGTGCTCATCATTGCTTAGGACTATAGAACCATAGAGACATTCCTTATTTGATTATTTTTGGTACCAGCTATTCCATCTTAAAGTGAATCTACTTAAAGTGGGGTCAGTATTTTATAGAAAATAGACAGGGTTTTAGTTTCTCACCTGTCAATAGTCCAGAGCCCAGGACCTTAGGTTCCTTTAAGTGCTACCATCCTAGGGAGCAACGGCTATCTCATGGCGGAGGACAGATGATAGACACTCCAGCTTTCACACCTGTGTACAGTCAGGAGGAAGGAGGGAAGGGGTAAAGAAAGACAAAGCACACATGCTCAGTGTCACTCATGGAAGTTACCTCAAGCTACTTCTGCCTCTATCCTATTACTTAGAACTTAATCACGTACCCACACCTTGCTGCAAGGGAACATTTGGGAAATGCAGTGTTTATTTCAGGTAACCATAATTTCCAGCTAAAAGCTGGACATGGGGTGGTGGTGGTGGTGGAAGGGAGTTTCTACTTTAAAAGTAGAAGCAGAGAGAGAATATAGTCTCCACCACTCTTGGGTAGGAAGTGTGTAGGATGGTCACAAGGCAAGGAAACCACTGAGCGCTGCCTCCATGCTCCATTATGCTGTCATGGAATTGAGGATGCTGGTGTGCATTGGGAGAAGGATGGGAAGTCCATAAACCATGAGAAATGATAGATTTCGACCTGCTCAGGGGAGCTCAAGAATAGATTCTCTTGCTTTTGTACTGCTGTAGGACAAAGCCCTAGGTTGACTGCCACATAATTTCTTCTGTTTTCTTTCTACTCTTTATTTTTTATGAAACCACTCTCTGTGGAGCAGTTTAAGACCACATCTGGTGACAGGAGACTGGGGCTGAAGGTCTCTATTATGAAGCTGCCTACATTCAGGATTAGAAGTGGGACCCCATAGGAAAGCAAGGCAGACATGTCTCTCTAGCATTCTTCTTTTAAAGGTTTTATTTATTTCTTCCATGAGAGAGAGGGAGACCCCCTGAATAGGTGTCCTTGGGCATGAACCCGAGGCCTTTCCCATGTGTGTCCAGTTGTGTTACCACTATACTACCACCCGGCCCCTCTATGGCATTCTTTAGAAGAACCTACTTGCACTCGTGCTTTATTTGCTTAGGATAAGTGATTGGGTAGAATTGGACTCTTTCCTTTAGAAGACTTCTCATTTTGGTAGAGAGTTTTTTTTTTTTTTTTAAAGAAAGTCATGCCACCAGCTCGTGGCATGTTGGTTAAGGCAACTAGATCCCATGTGGCTGAGAGTGTAGTTCAAGTCCCAGACCTGGCAGCTTGAGAAACATGGAAGGTGTATGCATGTGCATGCCCACAATCCTGAAAGAAGAGATAAATAGAGGAGAAGGGATTGTAGCGTGACTATTCACCACAAGGTGTATTTTCTTGCTTTCTCTTTCTCTCTGGGAGGCACATAAACCCTTTGGCAAATTAAAAAAAAAAAAGAGAAAAGAAAGAATGGAGTCATTTGCATAGAAGCAGAGAAGCAGTAAAAGATAGTGACTTAGACTTCACAGCGTGGAGGTGAGGCAAAACTTGGTTTGAATCTTTGATCTGCCACCTAGTCACTGTGTGACCTTGGACAAGTCCTGCCTCTGGACTAGCATTGGTCTCCTCATCAGTAAAACAGGTATCGTCATAGTACCTACCTTACAGACTTATGGTCAGGAGAAAGGAGATAGCGCAAGGGAAATATTGACAGTGTCAATGACTCTAAGTGAGACCGTCATTATTACCTGGGGAGCTGTGGGAAAGTATGTCAGTGTGGGACTTGGTTCATTCTGGAACTCATTAAATGACTATGTCTGTTCTGTGTACTTAGTTGGGTTTTCTTCTTAGGTATGTTTCTCCATAGGCCTTGGGTAACACCAGTGAGAACACAGCCCAGGGTCTCAGCTCAGAGAGCCTTGCTTGGTTAGCATTCCTTGTGAAAAAGATCTGAACTTAACCATAGACTCTCTAGAAAAACCCCAGTATGCTAATTTACTGATTATAAGGAGCTAGAATTGATGATTATAATGAGTAAATCGACTCTTCCCTTTCCTGTATAGGTTAGAAAACATGTTCTTTAAACCTTTTAATTGAAATGATTCTTTAAAAACCCCAAAGCATTGCATGAATCCAACCATTGTTGTTTTCATCAATATTAACCCTATAGAACATAGGTTTCTTTAAAGTGTAGTTAACACATGTAGATTAAAATACATACTTTTTTTTTGCAACAAAAAAGTGAATAAAAATGAACTATTTTTGGCATAAGTTTTCCTATGAACTTATAATGTGACACCTGTACTTTAGTTGAACTTTCTCAGTGAAATCATAAAAAGGGTCCATTTTTTTTTTCCAATCACCAAGTCAGGTGGCATGTTACCAGAGATCATGTCTATTTTTCCGCCGTCTTCACTTCCCAGTGGTAGACCCCAGAGGTCTGTGAACCAAACTCTACCCACCTTTGGCTTATTCTGAATGGGTCCTAGGGATTTCTATGTAAATAAAAGACAGGACCTTTTGGACTTCATGTTTGATTATTTATTTATTTATTTATTTTCTACTTTACTGAGATTTCAGGCCCAATGCCTCGATTGAAATAGAATCTTTGAGTGGA